TAAACTCACGAGTTCTGAGGATCGTCTCCTGACGAATCGCTGACAGGACACCACCCTCTCACGTGATTGGTCCACTGAAGTGTTTACTTGCAGCTTCGGCCTAGACGAGGTTAGTTTCTTAAGAACAAAGAGGAAAGAAAGAAAGATAAAAGTTAAAAAGTGGACTTCATAGAAAAATAGCATTTGAACGAGACTTTGGCAGTGTTTGTAACACGGCTGTAATCATGTATCTACAAAAAAAAATTTATTTTTATAATTTTTTTAATATACTAATATTTAAAACATTATTTTAATTTATTTTTAAATTAAAAAATATTTTAAACCATAATCATTATCATATTCTCAAATACAATAATTTCCTTACTCCCAACTTCACTTTAAACATAATTATTAAACCCAAATTCCAGCACCTTCTAATCAAGATAGGTTTTGTTTTTTCCAAATAGTTCATTTATTAATTCATATTTATTTAAAAATATCTAATAAAAACTTTTATAACATCAACTTGAAAAACCTATGAAATAATTAAATAAAATACAAAATTAAACCGAGTAAAAAGTTTCTATCAACCTTGATCTATTATTTCAAATAATATTAAAATTTAAAATAATTATCATTAAATTTTATTTTTTTTATTGAATAAATCATATTAAAATCAAAATTAATTTTTTTAATGGCTGAGTTAGGTGAAAACCAATGACTTTCTCTATTCTCACATGAATTCAATAATTTTTTTTCTCTCCTCTCTTATATTTATAAACTAAAAAATAAATATTTTGATCAAATTTAAATCCACAATATCTATAAAAAAATTAAAAGAAGAAGAAAAAAAACAGAAAGACTAAAATAATATTTTCCCCACAAATTTTAGATGGGACAACATATTTCCTTTTATTTTATACTTTGACCCTCTATTTGTTAATTTTGTTCATCCTTAACACATTTTGATTGATAAATTGTAATTTTTCCATTGAAAATTTTAATTAAAAAAAATTAATGATAAAAATAAAAAATAATTGATAGAGCTACAATGCATAATGTAGTTGTTTTAGTGCATATAAAACTAGTTTGTTTTTTATATTTTTAAAGTATTTTCTAAAAAGATTAAGAATTTTTTTTCAAAAATTTTTATTTTTAAATTTTTTTAATGTGTTAATATCAACAAATTAATTTTTTTTAAAATTTATATTTTTTTAATATATTTTTTAAAAAAACTTTACAAATAAAAATATAAGTTATATCCCAGTATAAGTAATGGCAATGGGACCAGGTTATGATAGCTGGCGAAATACATTCGATGATCTTTTATGGACCAACACGTGTCCCTAAGGGGCCTTGTTGATCTTTCCTTTGAAAGAATCCATTTCCAATTCAGAAAATGCCATGGTGATAAGAACTAACACCACTCATAGAGTTGAACTAAGAATTGACTAAGTTAAATAAAAAAAAATTGTATTTTTATTAAAACCATATTTTATATTTTGGCCCTTTTTTTGTTAATTCTTTTCATCCTTAACAAATTTTGACTAATAAATTGTAATTTTGCCATCAAAGATTGCGATTGAAAAAAAAAACAATTCACAACCAAAATAAAAAATAGTTGATGGAGCTACAGTGAAATTTAGCATGTTTGTTTATTTTTTTGAAAAACACTTTTTAAAAAATTGATTTTTTTTATTTTTTTAGTTGCTTCAATTTTCTTTTTCTTTTTAAATTTTTTTAACGTACTAATATCAAAAATAAATTTTAAAAAATAAAAAATATATATTATTTTATTATATTTATAAATAAAAAATATTTTTAAAACTAACAATTGTAATAATACCAAACATCCGTTTTAAAGCAATGGAATCAAATTATGAAAAATGAGGGATCAACACATATCCCAAAAGGCCTAGTCGATTTTTCATTTGAAAGAATCAATTTCCAATTCATAAAATGCCATTTTTATGCCATAGTGATAAGACCCAACACCACTCATTGAGTTAATATAAAACCTAACTAGGTTTAGTGAAAAAATTAATTAATTTTATTAAAACCATGTTTCAAAATTTTTTAAAAGAACAAATTAGATAAATTATCTAATCCATGACTTTAACCTTGAAATAAATTACCATTCGAATCGTGTTTTATAACCATAATAAAAACAATCTATTTATCGATGATTAAAAATAAGATTAGGAAAATAAATAATAATTATCAAATAATGAATTGATATTTAATAAGCATATGGTTGTATTTTGTTTCAAGAAAACTCTTTCTTTATCTCATCAATCTCTCTATATTATCCATTTTTTATATATTTCTAAAAAAAAGCATGAAATAAATTGGAAAATAACATGTGAAGGATAAAAATATATTAAATTATAAATAAGTCTTAAAATACGGATGAATTATATTTATGAAACCACAAGGACTAACTAATTAGTTTTGATAAACTAAAGGGACCAAGTTATAATTGACTCAAATAAAAGAAACATTATATATATAGGAAATATTGGAAGAAGCCATTACTAGATCTTTTCACTCTAGATTTCAAAGTGGCTTCCTTTTCGGCTCCCTTTCTTTCCTCCATGGCACATGTTTCAAATCACACGATCTTATGATCATCAGCATCTTAACCAAAACCCTTAGTCTACTTAAAGAGGATAATAGTGGGATAGAACAAGCCTAAAATAAAAACAGATAGAATTAATTTGCCATTACAACTAGAAGTATGGTTTAAAGTGGGTTTCACCTAATTGATTGCCAAGGAAAGCTTGTGTAAGGTTCAAATGGTTTTCATCTGTGTGGTTGGTGTGAGTTCACGTCGATCATGCTGGATCTAAGCAAAGTTCAAGAACACAATGAACTATGTGTTCGATTTCTTCGGCTTATATAAAATAGAAGTTAAAAACAGCAACCCCAAAGTTAATTTGATACGAGCTTGATGATCAAGAAATCCTGCAGAATGAAAGTTCATTTATCCCGCACAAATCGTCATCCTGCTCGTCACGACAACGCTGGCTTTAAGCCCAAAATTTTTGATATACCAGTAAAGCTTGTCATCGACACCTCGAGATGCAAGTAATGAAGAAAGCAAAATGAAAAGGTAAGCCAAGGATCGCAGGAACCAAGATAGCATAAAGAAATAAAAGCCATGTGGGTTACCGCGTCTACTAATGTCTAGGGTTTAGCAACCAAACCTGCAAGGGTTCCTAATTCAGGAAGGTTAACACTCTTCGGCTAACATAAATTAAGACCTTGTATGATGTGGAACCTCAATCATCCACGAAAGTGCATGGTGGCCATCATTGAGTTTGACTAGCTCGCCCTTCATTGGATCTTCTGCTAATTAATAAACAAAAGTGTCATGCATTAAGACTAAGCAAATGTTTCGTCGTGCTCCCATGACAACCTCATCATGAATCAAAATATATTATCCTATAATCATGGTGGTAAAACTTTGCAGACTCTTTCTCTCAAAGAAGATGTGCGCACCTTTCATTCCTGGCCGCTAAATAGGACCTTGATGGTACCACTACATTACACAACAATCACATATCATCTTCATGTAGCTATAAACCTAGCATGGGTGCAATGCAATAACAAGAGATTTGCATGGTCTACTAAGACGGCAAAGCAGTGACACAGGTATACACTACTGTGAGTTTTGAACTATGAAGCGTCAAATCATGAAACTTTATTTGACAAGGAAAAGAGATGGAAAGGAAATAATAGAGTAAAAAATAGTTACGAACATTCAAGCTTTATCAACCTGAATTCTTGAAAATAATTCACATGCCGTCCAAAGAATATGATCAGTAACACATTGAAGTTGAAACTTTTGTACTGTAGCATGATACATACAATATCTGTACTAACTACGAAGCTTGTAGAAGCCAATAAACAAACAGAAAGTAAAATACACCAGGAAATCGTTCTCCTACAATTATTATCATTCTTTCCTGTACAGCCTCCAATTTTAATTTAATAAAATTAAATTTGAATGATAAATTTGTTCCAAATTATTTCATTATAATCCTGAATGATATATTTGTTCCAAATTATTTCATTATAATCCTACGGGTATGACAAATTGGCTTGGTGATTCTTGCGACAAATGCTGAGGATCATTTGACTAATTGGAAGAAATCTAAGTCCATGGTTATATGCATGTATCTCCATTTGTGCTGCATTTCTTCATGTATCTAGATATCAATTAGTACACACAGAAAATGTATGCTGATGGTTATTGCAATTTGCAGCTTTCTATGCTGTTGCCAAAAACAAAAAAACAGTAGCTCACTTGCAATCCCGATGACTGACAGAATTGAGTCTTTATCCACTGACTATTCAAATTATGTTCTAAACATGACCCTGATAGTAAATTTTAATTATTTTCGTTATTGACCACCATCATCCATAAAAATGAAATGCCATTCCCTTATGTTCAACTCAACTCTTCAAAAAGTTCATTGCACCATCCTTTTGATCTCAACCAACGAAGTAATTCTTTGGAGTCCTCTAGATTCATGAGAACTGTTTTTAATTGAATATGAAGTTACAGACAACCCATCTCATCCTTTTCTATTGATATCCGCTCTGCCAAAACTTATAAGCTATTAGTCTAAGAAGAGTAGTGTCTTGATTACTAGTTTGAGAGAGGATGGAATAACCATCTCATACAAGTGTCTGGCATTACAAGCTTAAATGAACTATCTGTTACTAAAGCTTGCACTTCCAGCAAGGCCCAGCACTTCCAGCAATCAGTTAATCTTCTTATTACAAGATTCATGTTGGCATAAAGCTGAAAGATAACACAAGCCCTATCACCTATACAGAGAATCATCCACTGTTATAATGTTTTCAGTAGCTAAAATCAAGTTTCCAATGCTATAATGCAAATGGAACAGGCATAACTTTTCAGAGCAGGCCTCCTATGTTCTACCTCAGCCCATCCAATTCTGTTATCAAGGTAAGCAACAACGATTTCTCTCAAAGAGAAAGCAGGAAAGGACTTGGGAGAAAACAAAATATTTGGTGTTCCCCTTGTATATCTATGAAATGGCAACTAATTATAGCACTTCCATTCAATTACTTTTCATGAGTATTGTGATGAATCGGCCTTTTTTAAGATTGTACTCAAAATAAAAGGACAACAAAAACAGGAAGCAAAAAAAAGGAAATTCAATGAAACTGTAAATTCGAAAGTCTATTTTAACAGCAGATGGCTAACCACCATAAAACTTCAGCCATTGCAGCTGCTGTAGCATGTGTGGGTTCGAGAGAGTAAAGAGACTTGAAAAAACATGTAATTTGTCTGAGTGTTTACCAGCTGCTAGAGCTCATCATGTGTTGTATTTGTTTCACCTGCCAAAAATAAATACAACCACCAAATTATTGCTTGAAAAAATGATACTTTTTTTATATTTTATGGCATTAGCTAAAGCAACCAAAACCATGATTATTATTGTTTTTGCTTTGAAAATGATCGTACTCTTATATTGGTGTCAATGCATAGCTAGAAAAAATAGTTATTCACCAATAGTAAACAAGGTTACATCGAGATTTATTTCATGGCACTAATATTCAAACTTCATGAAAACAGTCATGAACTCACAGGGCAATTGTACTCTTATATTGGTGTCAATGCATAGCTAGAAAAAATAGTTATTCACCAATAGTAAACAAGGTTACATCGAGATTTATTTCATGGCACTAATATTCAAACTTCATGAAAACAGTCATGAACTCACAGGGCAATAGTTCTCATTTGTAAAATCTATCTTATAGCATATAACAGGAGATTATTAGGGGAAAAAATTACAATTAATGAAGAAGAACCAAACGTATCATAATGATGTGTTGTAGCTATGGGCTCAGAAGATAGTATACGTTATGTGCATATAATTTCATTATATTAGGTTAAAACGGCAAAAACCAATATTATGCACCAAAGTTAAGAAAAAATAAAAAAAAAGTGAACACCATTACATATGATAAAAACAATATATATATATAACCTGAAGATACATCTTCAAAGAAAAATGAGATTTCCCTTTGAGCTGATAGGAGAGAGTCTGAACCATGAACACAGTTCTTTTCTGAATCCTGCCCGCACATTGCTCTGATACTGAAAAAACAAAAGAGTACTGTTGTGAAGCTATGGAGGAGAAAGTCTAATGACAGTGACTTGAAAACCTAACCTTACAAAGCAATGAATGGGATGGGTATAAGAAACAGAAGCTTATACGTGAATAACCTGTTAGGATGAGTAATCTTAGCTTTGCATGCATCAGTTGGTCCAATCAAAGTGCGCCAATCAGCAATTGCATTTTCCTTCTCCAAGAGCATGACCAAAACTGGACCACTATCAAAAGCTATGAGTCAACATATAACGAAGCAAAAGAATGAGAGCAGATTTCTCCTTCATTCAAACAATAACCAACAGCACGATGAATGTCAACTTGGTATGCAGAATCACAGCCCATTAATACAATGAAATATAACTATTCAAAGTGCAAGGTCCAAGGTTTCAATACATTGCCTAAATGCCTGAAATACACGAACAAAGGCCACAATCTTCTTTGTCTTAGGCATCTGGAATATTTTCAGGAAAATCCAATTCAGAACTTTGCAACTACAGCAATAGAGTTCAGGAAGCTCACCACAAATTGGTCCACTGAATTGCCCCCAAATCACAATAATAAAAATGAAGTAAAGATACCTTGTCATGTATTTGATAAGACTTGGAAAGAAACTTCTTGAAGAGTGTTCAGCGTAAAAGCTTGCAGCACTGTCTTGGTCAAGTTGAGCGGTAATTTCCCTCAAGATGCTAAACCCATAATCCACAATAACCTCCTTTATTCTTTCAGTGTAATTACCTAGCAATCCATCTGGCTTGATCATAGCTAAAGTCTTTTCCTTTTCTTCACTCCCACTGCTTGAAAATAGCCCACATTTCATGAAGTATTCAAGATAACAAAACCAGTCGGCTAAATAAAAACTATATTGTATGATTGCACCAACAAGGACAAGCAAGATTAAACCAATCCGGTCCTCACCGAGGCCCTACATCTATTACAAAAAATTTAATCGTGAAAGAAAAAATTCCAATATTTTTAAGTTTCACCCTGAAATGCTAACCTTGGCAAGATTAAGTTCATCGACTAAAATAAATATTTCACCAATCGAACAGATCTAATTACAAAATATAGTAACACAGAACAAAAGGGAAAGAAATGTTTCTCGTACATTTGTAAGGTAAGGTTCATAAATAGTTGATACAAGCAAGAACCGTGTTGATCAACTAAAAAGAGGGGGAAACCCTGATTTTTAGTAATTGTTACCTGATAGGGAAAGAGGCAGAGAGCACAAGGAAGAAGACGGAGAAGAAAAGGCGAGGAATCATTTGAAATGATTTGCTATTACTACTTGAAACTGCAAAATGTAAAAATTTATATAAAAAATCACAACCAATTAATACAATAAAAGTAATCTTGCTTATTTATTATTCATTAACTGTGCATGGATTTTTTTTTTCTCGGGAAACAAACATACCTGGAATTAGGAAGGAGAAAGGCGGGAAAGAAGAGGAGATTTTTTAGGGGAAAGATTTTGGTCTCCTATCTTTTCGGGGACTGTCTAATTAACACACCATTCTGTCACTGAGGCTCCTCTGTTTTACGTTTCAAAAAGAGTTTTTAAAAATATTTAATTTTTTTTATTTTAAATTAATTTTTTTAAACATTTTAGATTTAATGTAAAAAATAAAAAAAAATATTATTTTAATATATTTCTAAATAAAAAAACACTTTAAAAAAAGTAATTAGTTATTTAACTTTTTAATATAAAGAATTTTTTAATAAAATAAATAATGTTATTTTAAATGAAATACAATTAATAATTATAATTAAATTATTCCAAATATAATTATTCTCAATTTTGATTTTAATTTTTTAATAATTATTATAATTTTAATTTTTTTATGAGAAATCATTGTATGCTCCCACCAAATGGACAAATTTTCCAATTTTTCATTAAAACATTGAAAATAGAAAAGACAGATGATTTTCTACGACCTAACACAATCTTAATTTTTTTTTCAATTTGTCTTCACCTTGTCCTCAATATACAATGGATGCAAATCTAAATTGTTTAGAGAAAGGTTTTACAAATCCGACATGAATATTATGTAAAATGATTGGGATTGAGTTAAGGATTTTCTTATTATTTTTTTTTTCTAATGGAATAATAAAACAGATGAGTATACAAAGCAAGCTGCAGCAGCATAATACACACAAAACATTGCAATTCTTGAATCTCTGCGTGTTTGGCGACCAGTCACAGCATATTTATCCGCATTCGCAAAGCTCGATGCAGCAGTTTATGCACTCAACGCAAGCAAGGGCAGCGCAGAGCTGGGAGAGGACAATAGAGCATTGATTATTCATATATGAACAAGTTTGGATGAAGCACATGCAACAGCAGCGATCCACCACCCTGCCACAGCAGTTGGAAGCAGCCTTGACCAGCATCCCGGTTGCTTCAGATGACTTTGTCTCCTCGGTTCCTGGAGGAATGTTCTCAGCTGTCGCAGTCAAGTTGCCAAAGCCAACGCAAAGATTCCTCAACACGATTGTCTTCGGAAAGTCCATTTTCTTGAGAGGGTTCATTTTGTTGAATACCTGTTTTCATTAGATATAAAGGAAGTTAAACAGATGAGCTTACGGCCTTGCAAATAATCTTCCAAGTAAAATCTGAGGTTAAATTAATGGTTTTAAGAAGAAGAATCATATGCAAGCTTTCCATGTGAGGGCAGTTGAAAATCATCGAATAAAGCAAGGCCAAAGTCAGGGGGCTGCTTGATCAAAAATGCTGGATGATAGATGTCACATTTTTAATTCAAATGGCGATGCTTTTCTGCTTGTCGTGTATAAGGAACTTAGGAAAAAGAGCATAGAGGAATTCTTTCAATAATTTAAGAAGCTTGAATATTTAGGAGTCAGGCAAGTGCATACATCCTGTATCAGGATTGTTTCTGGCGCTTTCTCATCTGTAAGAGTCTGATGCAAAACCATGAGGGTGTATTCAGATGGAAACCCAGTTTGGATGCTCATTTTTGCAACCTACAGCGAAGAAGAAGAAGAAGATCAAACAAATTAGATTTGCGTGAAGAAACGATGATTACACACATCACCACAACCACAAAAACCATGCCAACCTACAATGAAGAAGATCAAACGAATTAGCTTCGCATAATTTATAGAAGAATCAGAATCTAAGCAAATTCAATAGCAAACCTTTTGTTCCAGCTCTTTACTCCCTGACAACCATGCATTAGCAGTGAGTAAATCAATTTGTCTCCTTCCAACTACCTGCAGAGTTAGTGAAGAATAGTTAGAGAAGAATGCACCAGAAACAACTTTCTAATTGTGCAAATTTCTTTATAGTGGTTTTCTCTAGTGAACTAATATGAGCGAATTGCTGAGTTGTGAGGGATGGATGCAATCTCATGCTTGAGAACTGAAAACAATTACTTTCTACGAACACCCAAACAGCTAAGGTAGATAACAAAAGAAATGAAGTAATCTGGTTTGAGCATTACAATAGCAATTGACAAGTGTAAGTGTACAGAAAAGCAAACAAGGCAATTGATTTTGTATCATAATTCAACACTGGGGTGAAGCCAGATCCCTGAAGGGATGCCGTTCACAGAGAAAACTTCATGCATAATGTAAAGATCATTGTGACAAAAGAATGTAAGCGTTCCACCTCCAGGGCATCCCAATAGAAGACAGAACTTTAAGATTCTCCTGTTAAATATTCAATAAATCATCTTTATCCCGAAAGCACGGGATTCAGAAAAAGGCATTATAAGAGACACCACAAAGTGCAGTCCTTTAGGTAAGACTGATTCACGATTATAATCATTCTTGGACAAAATGATTTCTATCTATGATAATCTATCTTGCAACTACTTTCTGATGTTAAGTTCATCTTTATTAAATAATGTCATGTCCTGAAGAAACATTACTCTATCAAATGGCAGATCCTTTGTCTTTTGTGCTTTCAAGTCTATTGTGAACTTTCTCTTATCTGCCAAGGTGCCACTTAATTTGACAGGGTCTGGAAAGTTTCCACTATATCTGCCCGATACAATCAATGGGCTTCCACGTGAGAGGTCTGGGATACAAAAAGGAAGCAACTGCTAGGAGGTCGGAGAAGACAACATGTCAGAAACAGCCAGAAAAAATGAACAAGACAAGAGAATCAAAAGCTCCTCTGTTAAAACATAATTATGCTAAGAGAGAGCATGAAATAATCAAGGCAGGATTGGCATAAAACAATATTCAATATCTTGAATTGAGCACCTCAAGCGAGTCCAGATGTTCCAAAGCATCAACAGTTATATCGGCTAGAATGATTGATGATGCAGTTGTGAATAATTTCTGCAATCGAAAATCAACCGAATCTGGCCAAATAAAAGAGCAATAGAGAAAGTGACTGTTTAAGAATCTTTTCCTGCTTGGCTTTATAGGGTATTGAGACACAAGGCCTGCTGCACCATCAATTACCTTCCAAAAAGCAATTGGAATACAACTAACCTGCATCATAAGCAGTATCAAAGTGACCCCTCCCAATCTGTGCTAGCATTCGCAAGAAATGGTGGTTACAATATGTACCTGAAAAGGTTTTTCCAAGGATCTTTAACAAATTATATAAAAGGTAAGAAGTGGTGTGAGGATTTAGTATATAATTTAGTTTAACATTTTAATATTTTTTAACTGCAATGAGAAGATATATGATAATGTCAAAGACAATGCTACTTGGGACACAAGCCTAATGTCCCCTCATTAACATAATCGGCAAGTAAGGATCATGAAAAATTCCCACTATAAAGAAATGATTAGGGAGGCAGACCAGTTTTCTCTCCGGGTAGAATTACCAACTTTAGTAATTGATAGAGCAGTTCATTTAAGCTTGTCCAACACAAAGCTGGTAAGCTTGAGCGTCAGGTATGGTTGAGGTCCATGAAGCTAATTATATGTTGAAATCTCGAATACTCAGTATGATAACAAAACAGATGGAAAAGTTTTGTGAGCTAAACTGTGACTTTCAAAACACATTTCTTGTGCCCAAATGTGAGTTCAGTCATCAATTCAGATATGAAGTGTGTGTGAGCGCGCGCGTGTGCAGGCAACACCCCAAATGACAGAGCAAAGTGATCAAGACAACAGGTTTCGAATAGATAAAGAAAAGGCTGAAACACCAGATACCTCACCTATACCCAATGTACTTATGCGAAGAGAAATTGATCCCCTGCTTGTGAGATAACCTTTGACAAAATTACAAATATCTCTTTCATCTTCAACAGCTCCATCAGTGATGAGGAATATGACAGGAATTGAATTGGTTGTTTCAGCCAACAGCCTTATAGCCTAAAACAAAGCACATTACAAAATAAAATCAATAAGATTCTTGTCGCAAGTATCTTGTTAGAGATGTGAATGTGGAAAATGAAGCATCTAAAACATTTTCCAGGTAAATTAAAGAAGAAGAAGAAGAAGAAGCAAATAGGATGGGGATGGAAGGACTCTAGGTAGTGATTTTCATGTTAAACAGCACCAGGTTAATTATAGAGATGGACGCCGGCAGAGTATAAGCTAAAGTTAACTGCTTTATTTTCACATACTAGTTGAGAACTGGATTTAAAAGACATTAAAACAATATGCAACGCAATATCAAGATGTTTGAAAGGACAAACAGTGAAACATTAGACATACCTGTTTGAGGGGCACTAAAATGTTGGTGCCACCACCTGCAGTTAATGTATCATTAAGCCACCGGGTAGCTTCTATTATTGCTTTTTCGGTTGCCAGCTCCATTACTGATGAAAATAGGTAGGTCTCCATATTGAAAGCTATAATGCTGAAAGAATCTTCTGGGTTGAGCTTCTGAAGAGATGACAATAGTCCATTCTTTGCACTCTCAAAAGGACCCCCTTTCATGCTTCCACTAATATCAATTATAAATATTACTTCCTTCCTGAAAGCCTGCCAGATTCACACGGAAGAAGAAATAACTGTTTTAGTAAATTTGAAGCCTTGGTTCAGACTTCTGACTCAAGAATGTTTGGTCCTTTTGAGTTCCCACAGCAGATCAGATCAAAAGCAAAATGAAACCACAACTGAGGAAGGCAAGTATTCCTCTAACAAGAACATTTTTTATTTCATTAGCACTGTTTTGTGCCTCGATCAGTTTAGTTTTAGTTTAATTTGCTCTCTTCATATTTGTGTTTCATGGCCACATTCTCCGCCACTTTAGTGCAGCCGCCATTCCAGCGGTGAGAAAAGTTCTATCCTCCATAACTTTAGCCCAAAAATTAGCAGCATGACTGATTCTTTGTTTTTTAAGAATAGATTATCCACAATGACCACTTATCTTCTGCTGGAATGAAATACGTTAGAAACAAATAACCATGCAGCAGATCAAAGGAAATGAACCTTCATGCTCTGGTTGTTTCCAGGAAAAAGATAGAAGCAAAACATCTGTCTGTCATCAATATCTCGTAATAATGGGGACTGCAAAAGCACACCACCAAATAAATCCTTTGAGCAGACCTGTGAACACAGCAGTCAACGACAATAAGTGCTCTTATGGCTCCC